CGTTGTGCTTCCCATAAGACATTCCAATAGGTTCTTGCAGATCTGAACTAGAATGAAGCAGAGTGAAGTAGAGTGAAGTAGAGTGAAGTAGAGTGAAGTAGAGTGAAGCAGAGTGAAGTAGAGTGAAGTAGAGTGAAATAGTGAACTAGAGTGAACTAGAGTGAACTAGAGTGAACTAGAGTGAAGCAGAGTGAAGCAGAGTAAAGTAGAGTGAAGTAGAGTGAAGTAGAGTGAAGTAGAGTAAAGTAGAGTGAAGTAGAGTGAAGCAGAGTGAAGTAGAGTGAAGTAGGGTGAAGTAGGGTGAAGCAGAGTGAAGTAGAGTGAAGTAGAGTGAAGCAGAGTGAAGCAGAGTGAAGTAGAGTGAACTAAAGTGAAGCAGAGTGAACTAAAGTGAAGCAGAGTGAAGCAGAGTGAAGTAGAGTGAAGTGGAGTAAAGTAGAGTGAAGTAGAGTGAAGCAGAGTAAAGTAGAGTGAAGTAGGGTGAAGCAGAGTGAAGCAGAGTGAAGTAGGGTGAAGTAGGGTGAAGCAGAGTGAAGTAGAGTGAACTAGAGTGAACTAGAGTGAAGTAGATTGAGCTAGAGTGAAGCAGAGTGAAGTAGAGTGAACTAGAGTGAACTAGAGTGAAGTAGAGTAAACTAGAGTGCGGTAATGATAGAAAAGGATATAGCTAGTGTAATTTTACATCAATATACTTATATTTACTGAGAGGCGCGGTGGCTGAGTGTTGCAACGCTTGCTTTCCGAACCGTGGGTCCCGGGTATGAATCCTGGTTAAGAGTGAAATTTTTATTCTCTGAGTCCACCCAGCTCTAATGGTTACCTGACATTAGTTGGGGAAAAATAAAGGCGGTTGGTCGTTCGCTGGACATATGACACCGCTAACCGTGGGCCACAGAAACAGATGACCTTTACATCCTCTGCCCTATAGGTAGCAAGGTCTGAAAGTGGAACTATCTATAGAGAAAGGGGGAGACATAGATAGTACTTGATAGATAGATGGGTAAAATGGATAGAGCACGTAAAAGGGTGGTCGAAAGAGAAGCTGACTGGACAACATAGAAAAGGGGACCGGCCTCTCTTTAGACATCTTGTTAGGAACAGCTGCTGACCGGGAAAAGTGGAAGGATTTGGTTACGCGAACTGTCATAGCACCCCAACGCCGAAAGTCAAGAACAGGTGATATTGATAAATTATAATTTTTTATGCATATATAGATATCGAGATAGATAGATAGATAGATATAGATAGATAGATAGATAGATTGATAGATAGATAGATAGATAGATAGATAGATAGATAGATAGATAGATAGATAGATAGATAGACGGACGGACGGATTGATGGATGGATAGATAGATAGATAGATAGATAGATAGATAGATAGATAGATAGATAGATAGATAGATAGATAGATAGATAGATAGATAGATAGATAGATAGATAGATAGATAGATAGATATGTGGCTGACACACTACTGTTTGGTACCAGCTAACACATAACAAGAAACAGTGTGTTTGTTTCTCTCTGGTTAGCCTAGTTAGTCTTAAGTTCAGCAATAAATATGTACTGTCTTATGTTGATGCTAGTCTCTAACAGACAGGCACACTGTATGCTGAGGAGTTTCTCAGTAATGTGACAGTACGGAGAAGTTTGATGGTGTCAGAAGTGAATCGGAAGAACAACACAATCTTCACTTACCCTTTCAACTTTACAGAGCAAGTATCAAACCTGTGAGTGTTGTCCAGTATATCTATTATAATATCTATACCTCAGCTTAGGTAGTCTTACCAGATGACCGGCAAAAGGAGGACATTTTTGAGATTAGGTCCACCTTCCGGCAAGCGTTTGTATCAAGTCTGAAAATGCCCTGCTTTTACTCTATTGTTGAAATCGACAAACTCATAAATGATGTTTTGTCATACATACAGTATGTCGGTGCGTAGATTATGGCATTCTAGCACCAATGTGTATTAAGTGCACAATTTTTGAACGCACTTTCTTATTGTTGCCTTGTTGAAAACTGATGGAGCATTTTTGTTATTATGCTGGTGAAACGTTTTCTTTGAGATTCTTCTGTGTTCCCCTGTTTAGGGTGAGTATCTAAGGCATGACTGCATTTCGCAGTTGTTTTCGATGCTATAGTATACTAGACTGGTTCTTTTAGTTTGTCTTTATTTATGTCTCTACAGGGAGTTAGTATGGGATTGGAGTTCTACACTAAGTACTAGATTCAGCAGTGTGTTTTGGTGTGATTGCGAGCATTTATGTGTCACGTGGTCGGATAGCAAGGTGTAGAAATATGATATTAATTTCAGTGGTGTATCCAGGCGCGGACAGGGTGTTAAAATCGGCCCGGGCATCTCTATACAATTCGGCCCACTATTTGTAGCCTATATCATAGGATGGACATCCATTTCTACCTGTCTTCAAAAACATGTTGTTAAGTTTGATAATGTATACAATGAATTCTGTATTTTTTCAAGAAATGTAGCCAGCCTCGTGTTGCTGTTTAATCGCTAAGTATGTAGGTCCTAAAAGGATGAAGCCTACTAGTAGCACTGTCTATAGATGTAGACCAGGCTTAGTAAATTATTTCCGAAAATGTGTTCGATTAAATTAGTATTACACTGTAGAGTCTGTCTTAGATTTGTAAAAAAACACGTCGCTCATAGGGCCCCTTTTACAAGAGAATATTAGAAAACCTTTATCAATTGAATACTTCTACCGGCCCATTAGGGTACGGTCCATCGGGCAGTTGTCTGAATGCGAATATAACCAGTTTGTCCCAGGGTGTATCAAAGGGAGGGCAGCTAAGGCAGCCGCAGGACTGCTAAATGAGCATCAAAAGACTATTTGTAGTTCAATATATTCCTACTACTATGTTTGTAAACTTCATTTACAATTGATGTTATTATTATATGGTGCAGTGATTGTTCTTTTGCAAAAATGAATAGCGCACTACGCCGAACGGTATTGGATTTTAATGGGGGGGGGGGGGGGGGGGGTTATTACCGACTAACTTTATTATTTTTTTTGCAATGTATTTATTTGTGAGAAACAATGATCAATACTAATCGTATGTAAACAATATTATGATGTTCTCTTCTTATTGTGTGTGTTTAGGTTTATTTTTTTAATTCGTTATTACTAATGTCAAGTGTGTTGTGTCAAGTCTGTATCACGCTCACAGTCATTAACCACTTTGTTTCTAAAATCTATGTTGCTTTATTTCAGAAATGGCAGTTTCAACTTTTCAATCTTGGACCATCTTCTCTCTTCGGATTTAGTCTACAGCCATGTTTGTGATAGAGTTGTGGCCCCAAGAAGTAACAAAAGAGCTGTATTTGATTTCATTTCTTGGCCATTTTGTACTGCAACTTTAGATGTAATTAAAAGTTTTAAGCTATTTCTGATTACTTTTTAAAGAGAAATTTAAGTTTGTATATTTTATGCATCTATTTAATTTTTAATTACCTAGATCTATACTTTCAGGAATTGATTTATTTATAGCCATTTAGAGCTTTTTTTTTTTTAAATTCTTCTAATCAGCTTGCAAATTCTTCAAGACTATAAAAAGGAAATGACTAGGTGGACATTAAATGGAAACGTGATGGATGGGATCTTTGTAAACTGCTTCAAAGATTTACATAGAAATTTAGCAATTTATGTCTTTATGTCTTTGTGAAAAAAATAACTGGGGGTGCGGTGGCTAAGTGGTTAAGCGCTTGACTTTCGAACCTGGGGTCTGGGTTCAAATTTTGGTGAAGACTAAGATTTTAAATTTCGGGATTTTTAGGGCGCCCCTAAGTCCACCCAACTCTAATGGGTACCTGACTTTAGTTGGAGGAAAAATGCGGTTGGTCGTTGTGCTGGCCACATGACATCCTGTTCGTTAACCGCTGGCCACAGAAACAGGTGACCTTAACATCATCTGCCCTATAGATCGCAATATCTGAAAGGGTACTTACTTAATTGGCCTAATAGAGAAAACTGTTGGTTTGATTTGAACGTTTTAGTAAAATGTAAAGATCCCTTTCAGACCTTGAGATCAATAGGGCAGATGATGTAAATGTCATCGTTAATACTCTGCCATAGAAATAGATGACTAGTACATCATCTGCCCCATAGATCTCAAGGTCTGAAAAGCGGTACTTTTTTTTTCACTTTAGGTAAGCTTGCTGTATGTCATTTATGAGTTTTTTCAATTTCAACAACAAATATATTTATTACATTTCAATAAGGCTTACACCTTTTAATTGTGAAAAAAAAAAAAAAAAACCCTTTTGTGGGAATTCCCGCACTTGATTCAAATGTTTTCTTTGTGTTCAGTAACGAATTGAAGTTAATTTAATTAATAGACGTACGTAAACATGTTGAGTACCGCCTCAATTATAAGCTGGGCTGTTAATAGAAGTACTTGATTGTGCAAAGTTGACTGGAAAGACTCCTTTGCTTGCTAAGAATAAGTTTAGTGAGAAATCAATAAGCAACCAGTAGTACTATAAAGGAGAAATCGAATTTAAAAAACAATTTTTTTTTTATTTCTTGTTTTTTTTATTTCTTGTTTTTTTTAGCACATGTAGCTTGGTGTATCATGGTGTAGCCTGGTGTATCATGGTGTAGCCTGGTGTATCATGGTGTAGCTTGGTGTATCATGATGTAGCCTGGTGTATCATGGTGTAGCTTGGAGTAGCATAAAGTAGTTAGATGTAGTGATAGATGGCGAGCAAATAGTAGAATTATGACGCAGCCTTGTGTAATATGGGTAAGCAGACATAAAACAACGCGGTAGCATGACCCCGAATGTTGAGAACCTCTGCTGTGACACAAATGATGAGAGCCTCTTCTTTGACTCAATGCTGAGAACCTCTGCTGTGAAGTAAATGATGAGAGCCTCTTCTGTGACCTGAATGTTGAGAACCTCTGCTGTGACGCAAATGATGAGAGCCTCTTCTGTGACCCAATGTTGACAACCTCTGCTGTGACGCAAATGATGAGAGCCTCTTCTGTGACCCAATGTTGAGGACCTCTGCTGTGACTCAAAGCGAAAATGAATATCTACAGGATCTTTCGTAAATACAATTTAAGTAAACCTTGTGTATAACGTATTCAGTGAGAACAGATGACCCACAGGGGACGCCTTATGTTTTCCCTTGTCGTAAATTTTACATCATAGTAAGACTATTATAATTTAATATCTAATGTACAGCTTTCTTAATGACAATGTTCCTCAGCGCCCTCCCATCTACACGGCAGTGCTGACGTGTAAGAGCATCACGGTCACCATGCATGACGTCAGTGTGGTCAGTTCCATCCCTGAGTCTCAGAAGGTCAAGTTCATACTTCACAAAAGTGAGAGGTACGAGGTTATGTCAGGCCTTTATGGAGAGGTACATGGCTATGTCAGGCCTTCATAAAGTGAAAGGTACGTGACTATGTCAGGCCCCTTCATGAAGTGAGAGGTACATGGCCATGTCAGGCCTTTATGAAGTGAGAGGTACATGACTATGTCAGGCCTTTATGAAGTGAGAGGTACATGACTATGTCAGGACTTCATGAAGTGAGAGGTACGTGACTATGTCAGGCCTTCATGAAGTGAGAGGTACGTGACTATGTCAGGCCTTAATGAAGTGAGAGGTACGTGACTGATTGGTTGTCCAACACGGATGGAGTCTGTTGTGTGCACTTCGAACTCTATGTCTTGTTAGTCCTGGATTTAGGTTCAACCCTGGCATTAGAAACAAAGAATATTACATTTAGGTTAAAACTTCTACAAGGAAAGCAGTGGTAGAGTCAGACAGAATTCAAACTAGGGACATTTCTAACGGCCGCGCAAAACGCATACTAATTAGAAGCCATTTTTTTATGTATGTTTTCTAATGACTGCATCCTATTCTAAAGCATGTAAATGGACCAAAGTTTTTCCTCAGATCACAAGCCTATCAAACGTTAAAAAATCAAATTAAATGACAAAGGGATGTAACTGAAATTTTGAAACATTAAGTTAGATTCTCTTTTTTGAGTCCCTTGTGACCAGTGCTTTTTTTTTTTTTTTTTTTTGAAGCGTACGGCGTACCGGCACCTTTGTCAATGTGGGGAAAAAAATATTTTTTTCTTGTATTTTAACGTATATTATTAACTTATTAGTAGTTAAAAGTTTTGCAATTTATCACTGAGTTCCGGTACCAATTAGTTTTACAAAATAAAGCACTGCTTGTGACTATAAATATACATTCACTAACCTTTCTGTTTCAGCTTTCCTTTACCCACTAGCATGCTGGGGAACAGACAACAGTACGAGAACCCTTGTCTTTAAACAATGATGAATTGTTAAACTCCATAGCAACACTGTGCCATATTGTGCTGACTACATGATACAAAGAATATTATTTGTTATAAAAAATGTCGCTTGTTAGAGTTTGTTTCTCTGTTAATGTTGTATTCTAATTGTTACAGCTGTTATATTAATTGTCCACTCTTGATATCATAGCAAGAAAACAATTTAGGGTGAATGATTATTATAAGATTATTAATGTTGTTATATATATATTATTGTATATATTCGTGTAATAAAAAAATGTTTACAGGTTGTTTATATATTTGTTTTCTAAAGACCACACTCACAACCCTACCATATTTTGATTTTGATGAGCTTTTTCAACAAAGATGTCTCCAAATACAACTTTAAAAAAAGAAGAAAAAAGCTTTTTGGATAAGCCATGTAACTAAAAATAAAAAAAAAATCATTTTTAAAAATATTTTTGAAATGGTGGGAGAATGACCTGAATTCAAACTCGTGGCGTAAACCTTTTCAGGCTTTTCAAACGAACAACTTAACCACTCTTCTATTGGAAAGATTATCGATATGGAAGATTGTATAAGTTACCATTGTTTCTATAATCTCGACCTATTTCTCATGTTGTGTTTACTAAGACTCAGATAGCGACCTATAAATGGGACTAATTCAACTTATACGACCACTTCGGTGAAGTAATTTTTTTTTTTTGTTTGAGATGTCTTCCCATTGTCATAAGTCTTAGTCTTACATTATAACATAAGTCTTCGTCTAACATTGTTATAACATAAGTCTTAGTCAGCTGCGGACTGGCTATATGGGCATTCGGGCAAATGCCTTGTGGGCCGGTACCCCATTGGGCCACCGAAAGGGCCGCATGAATGCCAGTAAATTGTTTTAAGATTTATATTATTCTCTTTAAAGATATCACTTTGGGCGTCATGATTAATTTAACAAAAATACATTTTACACTTTTTAAGTCTAATACAAATCTAAAGCATTGTCGTAAATATCCTTCCACCGTATTTAGTGCTTCTAGTAGACGTCACTAAACTCTGCGCCAGAAACTCAAGGCCTTTATTTCTTACAGAGATCGACGTTAGTGTGAATCAATTCGGATGAATCTATAAAGGAACCACCAACAGCGTTCCAAGTCCTACAGAGGACATGTCCAGTCACATTAGAATTCGTTTTTGTTTGATGGAGTTGTCGTATGATCTTGAGTTGGCCCCGCTACTAAGTCCCTCACAATCTAAATTATTATCTTGAACAATATTGAAATGTGTTGACTGGAATCAAAATGCAAAGGAATCTATAATGTAAGAAAAGGAAGGAGCAGAAAAGAAGTTAAAATAACTCTTGCTGGAATCCTGTGCAAAAAAAATAAAAAATTATGAATGTTTTCTCGCAAGCACTAGAGATTCGCCAACTTTATGATGACAGCATTTACGAATTATCAGGATCAACATCATAGGCTATTGACTTAAGTCGAAATATAAAGAGGCTTTGCTAAAATATGAGATTATCTTGACAGCATTTGTCGTACTGAAAGTAAGGATATTAAAAACATGTGAACATGTTCTGTTGTGTGTGTGTGTGTGTAGCCAGCTTTAAGATGCAGTCAAACTAGGTTTCCAAGTTATTGAACAAGCAGTAAATGTGAGTAAATGAAAGTTCTCTTTCAGACCTTGCGATCTATAGGGCAGATGATGCCAAGGTTATCTGTTTCTTTGCCAATGGGTAACGAGCAGGGTGTCATGTGACCAGCACAACGACCAACTTAACCATTCAGTCACCGCGCCCCCACCACCCTCTCAACGCGCAAGTGGGGATCATGTAAACATGCAAGATAGCAGCAGGGGCGTAGCTAGGAATTTGTCATCATTTGGGGGCCCGGGGGGGGGGGCTTGACCTCTTTGGGGGCCCCTGTATTTTGCGAAATATTTAATATTTAATGTAAAAAAAAAAAACACTCATTTTGTGGCCCTTCTCAAGTGATGGTCCGGCGTGATTTTTGAATTCTCACCCCTCCTCCCCCACCCTACCTTCGTCTCTGGATAGCAGACGCGTACAAGTTTCAAGACAAAGCGAGTAACTTTAAGGCAATTCTGTACAGTAATGAGTCAAGTCCACCTAACAGACATTGCCAGTTAAAGGGCAGATAATATAATTTTTTCGTAAAGGTCATCTGTTAAAGAGGGTGTCATGTTGCCAGCTTAACGACCAAACGTCTTTACTTTTGCTCAACTTGGCCTAAGAACTGACCTGAATATTGCTATGTACATCCTGCTAAATACATTATTTATCGATTACCTTCTTATAAAGCATTTCTTTCTTTGTCTCTGTCACGTAAGCCTTCCGCTTGAAATAGTTTGGCCACCTGAAAACTGATTACGTGTGGTCTTCTATGTCTCCTAGGCGCGGTGTCTGAGCGGTAAACCGCTTGGCTTCCTAGCCGGGGGTCCCGGGTTCGAATCCTGGTGAAGAATTGGATTATTAATTTCGGGTTCTTCGGGTTCTCTGAGTCCACCCAGCTCTAATGGGTACCTGACATTAGTTGAGGAAAAGTAAAGGCCGTTGTGTTGGCCACATGACACCCTCGTTAAGCGGGGGCCAGAAAAACAGAGGACCTTTACATCATCTGCCTTATAGACCACAAGGTCTGAAAAGGGAACTTTATTTTTTCTTCTATGCCTCCCTCTCTTTCAAACTAAAACCTTAAAATATGTACCCCTTCTGTTGGAGCCCCTAAAAGAGTCCTCTTTTTGCCCCTTTTTTGGCGTCAGGCCTGGTATGTGTGTTTATGTGCATTGTTTAGATATGCTTCTCAGGTTTGTGTGTGTGTGTGTGTGGGAATGTATGTTTGTGTGTGTATGATGAAGTAAGCTACATGTCATATTTTCACACGAAAATTTCGCAATCTTCTGAATCAGTATAGGTGAAAGGTCAAAGCTATCAAAGGCAGTTAGAGCAAAGTGTCAATTATATTGCTTTTAAGTAAGTAATTAATATGGTAATGTAACCGTTTGATGATTTGGCGCCTCGGTCCTCTCAGCAAAGTGACATCTGCTCGGAAGCTAACAGTATAACACACTTTAGTGCATGACCAATAGTATCATAGTCAAATGTCAACAAAATGAGTTCGCCAGACACCGGTAGAGTCCTACCATCTCATTGTATAGCTTGATGTAGTGTATTCACCTCTACAAGGCCGGCAAACTGTATGTTCATATTATTGTTGTAAATCTAATGCAATCACTCAACGAAAGGCAGGAGGTAATAGTAGACCATGTTTTTATTTACAGCTATAAACAAATAGTTAGACTTGTACTTCCGCTATCGAGTCACAAGGAGTAATCAGTAAGTTTTTACAGTCCTACTTAATACTAGAACAGACCACCGACACACTTCCCTGTGTCGCTACAGGTCTTCCAGACCACCGACACACTTCCCAGTGTCGCTCCAGGTCTTCCGAACACTTAACTAGTATCACACAGGACATAACTTAGCCCCAGACAGTTCAGACTCCCATAACTTCAGCCGGATCTCCAACAGTCCTTCCTCTAGAATCTACATGTCTTCTCCTACTGGTGTTAAACGGTGCTCTGATGCGCACCACCAATGTCGGCGCGGAAGCGGAGTTACAACAATATATTCTGTTTAATATAGTTCATTTTACTTCAATCTTTTTGTTTTGTTTTAAATGTTTTGGATGTTCCTTCAGAACTCAAGACTATTGCACACAAGCATAAGCTAGGACGACGGAAATTAGCGGTGTTGATACTCGGTAGTTAGTTTGAAGGTAAAAACTCCTAGTCCAACATATCCGGTGTAGGCGTATTATTTTCTGAAGTACAAAGCAAAATACATCTTGAAAACAAAAATTTGTTTAAAAAAAATTTGAATATAACTTTTATATATAAATATACAGTCTTCAGCTTCAATATAAATATTCATGGAAAAA